TTCAGTTTATTTCTATAGCACCAATTCACACCACATCATCCAAGCCAAATTAGAATTAAGAACTTAGCTTATCCAATGTGCACATTGTGTGACATCACCGAATGCATACTATATGCTAGTTTACACAGTGAAACCAGGTCATTTTATAATCAGTAGTAATGTTGCTGACCTCTGCACCACTCCCATCTGCTGTATATAGTGAACAGAGGCAAGTCTAGAAACATGGATCTGAAAACCCATAAAAGTAAACTGCTTTTGAATTTGCTTAGTCACTCTTACTCTCACCTTCCTTAACTTTACATTCCCCCTTCCTCCAACTTAGCTTTGCTGGTGAGCTCTGATGAGGCCACAGGGAGGCCGAGCTGGTAGCTTATACTGCAGGGTTTCTCTGTAGCTCAGCAGCATCGAGGTTTGTCCTCTGCAAAGGACACACAGATATATTATTCCCATCTGAGAAGCCTCAGCAGTCTCCTTCGATGTGATAAAGATGTTAAAGCGCAAAAACCGAAGGAGCTTTGAGGCGATGTGAGGCCAAGGCCATTCAAAGATATTACTTTATGGCTTATTGAACTTGTTGTAATGTTTACTTTGGGAAGGCTGCAGAAAAAATATATTGGTAATGTTTGTATTTCCTGCGGCTCCAGGTTTGCTTTTAATCTGTGAGAAACGGCTACAAATTAATTACAGCAGAGACATACTATGTTGCTTCGACAATAACAGAATGAGGTTATTATAAAAGTAAATCCTACCCATATAACCAATTTACACCACCCTCAACAACCGATCTGTGCCGAGTTCGGACCAAGCTTGGATCAGTTACCGTGCCAAGCTCGGTTCCTTACGACCATTTACAGATCACGCTAGCACAGTTCCTCGCCTCCTAGTGGTGATTAACGGTACTACTTCTCTCTATATTGTCTAGATTGATGCTTTTAAGTGATCTGACCTACATGCAGAAAACCACACAGAGAACCAAGGAAAGTTTAACAGGTTTTTTGAAGAGAACCACAGGAAGTTGTATCTGGAACTCAGAGAGCTGATGAACCGGAACTAGAAGTGAGAGGGGAAGTTCACAGAGGTTAGTTCAGTGGCTGTAGGATACTGGACTGAGTTCTTGAATATTGAGGAAGCGGGTCTCACGTTGGAGGTGGGTTTCAGTCTTTCACTTGAATCCAGAAAGTGTGGGTTTATCCAGAGGAAGGTCAACTCATTGGAGGGCGGACAGGTTGGTTTGGGTTGGACCCTGAGGAGCAATTAGAGCGGACTGCCACTTGGAATTCCGAAGGAACTTGAACGGGTTATGTGGAGATTTATCCCCTGCTCAGTGTGAACACAAACGATGCTTCCAGGGGAAGAAGGCCAAAAATCCAGTTTGCAGGAAGGTCTCCTGCCGAAAGGCAAAGACAAAAAACAATGTTAAACAATGAGAAACAAAGACTCAGGTTAGACTCAGCTAATCTCAGCTTGGCTAGAGTACCCAAAACTGGCAAACACTCTGGCGTCGAGGTAGTGACAGTCAACGGCTCAAATACTCCTCAGTGATGAACCAACGAGCCACAGGTGTGGAGGAGAGCCAACGAGGACAGGGCACCACCTGGTGGTGGAGGGAGAGACAAACACAAAACAACCCACACAAACTGGATTCCTAACATAGATGTAAACAAGCAAACAAACATGGAGGAGCCTGTAAAATTCCGGAAGTTATGTTTTGTTATCATTGTGATATTTCGTTGTTTGCGGAGAGTCAGGCAAAAAAGGCAGCCTTTTGTGAATTTACTTGACAGAGTCAGCTTTTGGGAATTGGATATAACAAACGATAGTTTAATCAGGGCTTACAGACGTTGAGGCTCATCACACTGCTAAGCAGAATCATTACTGGAAATCGTCAGGCATTATAGGGAAGCTAGTATTTTTATAAATGTCCTAAGTTTCATGATTACCGGGACTGACTGTAAGGAGATGATGTGGTCTGCTCATGAGTTGCTTGTTTTTTTGAGAACGAAGCCAGAACTGAATCATGCCGAGCTCTACTGATCAACTAGTACCAGTTTTGGGTACCGGTTGTGTCTGACACGGTCCGGTTCGGTTGTGCATGTCCTTTAAGTTATACATACTTATATATACATTTATATCAGTTCCCATGCTCAGTCGATCTTGGCATGGTTTCCAAAGCGTAGTAGAGGGGGCTAATAACTTCAGAATAGACCTGATGGTCAACTCCACCTTGTTGCCTGGCAAATTTCCGGAGTGAATTTCTTTTTTTTTCGTTTGCTTTTTTGGTACTTGCAGCATTTCCCCTTATTGTTTTTTTTTTTTTTTTGCAACATTTTCCCTTTGAATTAGTTTTCTTATTTTTATGTGTTTTGTAGTTTTCTCCAGTAAGCAAGATTGAAACGGTCAAAGTACAGGAATAGTGAAAAAAAAAAATTATCAGCATGACTTTTTTTAGTTTCATTTATCCTTTCTGCAGTTTTCATGCTTTTTTAAAATTATTTATAATCATAATCATTCTGGCACACTTAAAGACGCTTTTCTCAATATTTAAACTCAATGGTTCAGTGTTTCAATACGGTTTTTCACTAAGATTGAAATAAGAACTTCTTGGGCAAGTTGAGTTAATAAAATCAGGACAGTCTCTAGATGTATAAGATTATCAAACAGACTACAGAATAAATATGTTTGGGTTAATGCAGACAAAGCCAATTTGCAAATATAAATGTATCTTTTTTTTCCCTTTTGTGTTCAAAACCACCTTAAACAAAAAGATAAAAACACATCAAATAAAATCAGGGTCACTTATGGAAAAAAAAGCATTTGTAGCACATGGAGGTTCTACTCTGACGGTTAAACTGTAGTTACCAATGCCGCTAATTAATTGGCAGCAGGATGCAAATGACCCTTTGCATATTCATCCATATTCATCATGTACCATAACAGATTCTAAAATGCAGCAAGAGCCTTTTTGTCTGACTGCATATGCACTGTGGCTTATTGTATTTTTCTCTATTTTTCTCTATTTTTCTCTCTACAATGCAGGAGAAACAGCTACGTTTGTGTAGAAAGTTATCTTTCAAAAATCTGTAAAAATACAGTAGCTATCTATGCGTATTACCTTGAGCATTAACCTCCCTATGAAACATGGAGGCGGCAGCATTATGATGTGGGGTTACATTTCTTTAGCATCGACAGAAATTTGAAAATCACTTTTTTTCACCATGTCACAACTAAATCCTGCTTTGGGTTTATTTCTCAGATGATGTTTGACGTTATTGAACTAAAACTCATAGGTCCAAGGGGTTAAAATAATAGCAGTAAGTTACTGTGAGTGTTACAACACTTTCTATTTTAAGACCCCTCTCTGTTTATTTGTGCGTGCATTAGCATGTGTGTGGTAAATCAGTCAGTCATGGGACTTTGGTAATCTTTCTAAGTGCGGCCTGATCATCTATAAGCTCTGACTCACATAGAGATGACCTCACTGCTAAATGGCAGGTTTCCTATTTTGGTGTAAGCTGGTTTGTGTGTCTATGTCTCCTATAGAGGAGGCCTAACAGACCTTTAAAGAAAGACATCTGAGTCATTGATATGGAGGACTGGGTGTTTATCACAATCCAGAATGATTAAATGATAAACTGATCAAAGCTTTGCTTACTTATTTGACAATGAAAATCCACGCTGTGTTTTAATTTTTTTGTTAAATCCAGTTGAAACTTATGAGATATTTTATTCTTCAATTCCTTTTGCAATTATTTTTTCTCTCAAAATAATTTTGTTCTCTGCCTCTTGAATCGAAGCATTTTTTTTGAAAGTTTCAACCGCTCGTTAAGATATTTTCTACCCACTGGATTTCAGAGCAATTCTCTGACAGACATTTAAATTCAGACGTTCAATAGATGAGCATAGAGACATCCCATATTCTGTGCTCATCATCCATCCACTGTCAGTAATGTTGACTTTGTTCTTGCTACCTGCTGATAATTTAAACCCATAATTTCTTTTTGGGTATTTTTTATTTTTTTTGGGTTGTGGGGGGCTGAAGTGACTCAAATTTTCCCCTGCTGACCACCCACGATCGATGATGTTGTGCTTTGGTGCACCTTTCCTGCATTCTCTGACTGCTGATGAGTGTCTTGCAGTAGGCTGCTTGATGCATTGCGTTCGGTCCCACTTTCCGGTCACTTTCTTAGCCGATACACCAGTGTGTGTGGGTGGGCTTACATGAATGTGGCGAGTTTCTCTTTTTACTGTCGCCTCTACATTTAAGGCTTTCATGTGGGAGCCAGCATGTCTTCCTTCTGTGTGTTTGTTTGTGTGTGTGAGGTCTGTATGTGTATTTCTTACATTGTAGGGACCATTTTCCATAAATAAAATGCCTGCTCTTCATTTGCTGTTTTAAGGTTTGGTGTTAGGTTCAGGGCTAAGGTATGAATGGAGTTTAGGTTAGGCTTAGGATTAGGCATGAACATTTAATTGTAAGGTTTAGGGTAAGGATCATGGTTAGGCTATAGAAATGGGTTATAAATGAATGGAAGTCAATGAAGGGTCCCCACAAGAATAAAGGAACATGACTGTGTGTGTGTGTGTGGTGGGGGCTGGGGGGTAATGTAGCTAACCTGATAACTGCCTCAGCTGACCTCTGATCAGATCTCAGGTGGTCTGCTTCCTGTTAGTGTGCTACAGTAAATAGGATTTCCATGATATCTATCTTGCCACACTGCTCCTCCTTTATGAGATTGTACCCACCTCATTTTCTTCTGTCACCCCTGAGCTGCACTGGTACCATCTATCCCAGTATTTATTATCTAGACTTCATTATCCTATTCTCTTTGTTGTGGCACCCTATTCCTTTATGCTGTCTGTCCCATTTGCCACCATCCTCCTGCAGTGCTTTTATTGAATTCATTTCCTCCCTGTCTGAACTCTCACCTCCATGTTTGCTCACGTTGTGTCGCCTCTCTAATTCATTGCTCCCTTTCTTTCTTTCCCTCTCTCGCTCACAGAGCCAGACTGGGCGTCGCTGACTCTGGGTGTGTTCGTTTGCCAGGCCTGCTCACTCCTTCACCGGAGCATCCCTCACATCAGCCGGGTCAAGTCTGTGCAGGACACGTGGGATGACAGCGAGGTGGAGGTAGGCTGGAGGCAGCGATAATAACAACTGGAGTGAAGGGTTTATGTATTTTGAAGTTTTTATTATTAAAAAAACAAACCATAAAATAATTGTAGTGTGCATTTCTATTAACACCTCTTGATTAATTACTTTATAATCCATTTTCCCTTGATGTTTGTCCTCACCAGCTTTTCACAGAGACAGTTATTTTGCCTATTTTCAATATAATTTCAATAATTCTATTTGATACCGCCCCCTATCAAATTTATGTTAATATTTTTGAGATTGTCATATTATTCTGTGAAAACATACCTAACTGGATATGTGTTAGGACAACAAATTAAATTGTGAATGGAGCTCAAAACATGGTCAGATAGGTAACTCTGCATATATACGTAATACGTTCAATACCACTTCCATTAAAAATATACAAAAATAATTTAAATTCAAGGAAAACATATTTCAGTTAAAAACTGACTAAACTATTGAAACTAAACTTGTTGTTTTGTACATGAACTAAAGGGCTAAATGGGGGATAAACTAAAGGGATAAACGGGACTAGCCTACGCATTAGGGATGGAACGGTTTATGAAAACCGTCCGAACTTTTCGGTTCGACTGTCTCGGTTCGATTCGCGTGTGTTTTGTTCGGTTCATGCGCTGCTCCTTTTTCCTCATAGGCGAAGAGTTTACACTCCAGAGCAGAAGGTGGCGGTACTGCGACCAAAGCCAACCACCAGTAGTAAACAAGAAGAAGAAGCGAAGCAGCGTAGCCGGGTGTAGCAGAAAAAAATCAGTTGTTGTGGAGAATTGTGTGGTTATGGCGAGTGGGAAAGAACAGGAGTTGGAAGATGCGCCAGCAGCACTTTATAGGTCTGCTGTATGGGAGCGCTTTGCATTTAGAGTGACCTACGATGACCGCGGAAAGAAAGTGCAACAGTGTGCAAGCATTGTGCAACACGTTTTGTTTATGCTAACAGCAACACGACCAACATGTCAGGCTAACAATCAACATATACCGAACCCGAAAACCGTGACCAGGAAACCGTGAACCGAACGAAACCGTGGATTTTGTGAACCGTTCCACCCCTAATACGCGTATGCCAAGTTGACATCTCTGTGCATGCCTTTTGACTGTGGGTATTCTGGTCTGACAGGGTATGCTGATATGACAGAACACCACAACATGATCAGGAGACAAACATACAAACTGGCAAACTCTTTACAAACTGGCCCCAAGAGAAGGGACATAACTCAAACTGAAACTAACAAACAGAAACTACATCAAACAGCAGTAATGATCTGGCCCAGATAGCTGGACTGAACTGTATATAAAGCAGAAGGAGCAGGTGGATAAAATGAATGATAATTAGAGAACGGGAGGTGAATGAAATGAGTAATTAAATCAGCTACCGGAGCTGCGATCATGACAAAAACACATGTGGATGTTATATCAGTGTCTAAACCCTTTGTGAATTAAACCTTGTTTTAGATTTAAATAGGCAACAACAGACATGTCACCATGTGCTTGCTGGACACAACAGTAAACACATAAAAAATAACTGGTTTAGCCAATAATATTAATACCTAACACAGGGGTTCCCTAACCTATCTATTTCTTATTATATTCATTGATCATAAGAATATCAACTCACCATCTGCAGTAGTTCGTAGCAAAGAAACGGTTCAGGGTTTGAAGAAAGGGTAACACTGATATTCTAAATGTTGCATCATTAGTGTGAAATGGATAATCTTTTGTCAACAGTTAGGTCACCTTTAGATGACGTGTGTTCTGAATTGGTGCTATAAAAAAACTGAATTGAATTGAATAGACAGTAGACTGCCTCAGCACTGCTCCCCTCACAGAGCTCTTTAGGAGTAAAATGGGCATGGAGAGGGAATCATCCAGCTTAGATTGGGCTCACAATATATTCCAAAAAGGTTCAAAGCAATCCCCTGGACTTGGTTTCCAAGTTTGAAGACGTTTTGCTTTCCATCCAGGAAGGTTTTTCAAAATGTCAGAATTAGATTTCAGTTTGGGGCTACATTATATTTTTACGGGCCAAAAAACGAAAAGTGTTCTTCATACAAAAAAAGTCAACCTTCAAATAAATATGTACAGTTATGCACTCAATACTTGGTCGGGATTCCTTTTGCAGAAATGACTGCTTCAATGCGGCGTGGCATGGAGGCAATCAGCCTGAGGCACTGCTGAGGTGTTATGGAGGCCCAGGATGCTTCGATAGAGGCCTTTAGATCATCCAGAGTGTTGGGTCTTGCATCTCTCTACTTTCTCTTCATAATATCCCACAGAATCTCTATCGGTCCTTCTCCACAATCTTCCTCAAGGTCCGGTCACCTCTTCTCATTGTGTAGCGTTTTCTGCCACACTTTTTCCTTCCCACAGACTTCCCACTGAGGAACCATAATACAGCACTCTTGGAACAGCCTATTCGTTCAGAGATATCTTTCTGTGTCATACCCTCTGGCTTGCCTCTTGATGGCCTTCTGGACTGCAGTCAGGTCGGCAGTCTTACCCATGATTGTGGTTTTGAGTAATGAACCAGGCTGGGAGTTTTAAAGGCCTCAGGAATCTTTTGCAGGTGTTTAGCATTAACTTGTTGATTCAGATGATTAGGTGCATAGCTAGACGAGTCAGCTTGTCTGTTCCTGTTTGGCTGTGACTCCATCCTTGAGAGAAACATCAGCTGTGCTGCTTCCATCAACGCCCTTGTTTATAGATGCTGGAGATCAGCCTGTTTTCCAGTGTAGTCCTGTTTCTCTGACTGTGACTAACTGGATGTGCTCTCTTTGTCCTCTGACATGGGAGCTGGCTCAGAGCCAGTCTGCCTGGCTGTGTGTTTGCTGAACAGGGCCGCCTTTTACAGCTGCTTTTTGTATCTCTGCTTCTGTCTCCTTGAACCCCAGTCGGCCTCAGCAGATGGCCGCTCACACTGAGCCTGGTTCTGCTGGAGGTTTCTTCATGTTAAAAGGGAGTTTTTTTCTCTCCGCTGTCACTACAAGCATGCTCAGTGTGAGGGATTGCTGAAGAGTCAATGAGACGATGCAATCAACTGGTTTTCCTTAGATAGAAAACTTTGAATCAATTTCACTGTATGATCTGGTGAACTGGAAAGTGCCTTGAGATGACGTGTGCTGTGTATTGGCGCTATAGAAATAAACTGAATTGAACTTAATTGAATTGTTTAGAGACTTTTTTCATGATATGCTAATTTTTTTTAGATAGAAATTTTGGGTTTTCATGAGCTGTATGCCAAAATCATCCCTTTTAAGACAATAAAAGACCTGAAATATTCCGGTTAATGTGTAATCAATCTGAAATATTTTAATGTTCAAGTTTTATCATTACATTATGGAAAATAATGAACTTTATCACAATATGCTAATATTTTGAGAAGGACCTGTATAAAGTAGCCCAAAAACTTGTTTTGGCTTAGAAAACATGCAAATTGAACCAGAAGAACAGGTCTGCCCCTTAGGAATGGAGAGTCGTTTTGGGTTTTTGGTTAGACTGCAATACCTGATAATGGGCTATGCCTCTGAAAGGGGGGTTATTAGGTGAGATGTTTTGTCCTGTGCATGGGGTTGGGGGTTAGAATTATAGTGGGAAGGAATCAACTCTATCGCTGCATTGTAGGTTTTTGAAAGCTGAAACCTGGGTCCACCCTTTTTTTTCTTTCTTAACATATATGGCTTCCTTCACGCCCCTTTCAAACCACCTGTCTTCTTTGTCCGAAATGTGAACATTCTGGTCCTCAAACGAGTGTCCCTTGTCCTTAATGTGCAAGTGGACAACACAGTCCTGTCCAGAGAAGGTAGCTCTTCTGTGTTGGGCCATGCGTCGGTGGAGAGGTAAGTTTGGTGTCTCCAGTATAAAAATCTGAGCATTCTTTACTGCATTTAACTGCTTACACCACTGCGCTCATCTTAGGTCTGGGGCTTTTGTCTTTAAGATGCACTAGTCTCTGTTTAAGGGTCTTGTTTGGTTCCCAAACAAGACTCTGCTAGTTCCTCAGCAGAGTCCTCCGAAGTCCAGTGGTACTTTTTTGGAATGACTATGACCCGGATGACTGAGAATCTTCACCAGCTCGAGATATATAGTTGGATAACAATGCTGGAAATGAGTTTAGGGGATTTAATTCATTTTTGTATTTCTTCAAACCTGCTTTTTTGACCGCTCAATTAAGCATTTCCTGTATGATCACATTTTCTTGTATCTCTCAAGTTGTTGTCTGTATACCTTCTATTATGATGGTATTTTGTTTAATAATAACAAAAATCTATCCTATTTCAGTTTTTATTTGAAAACTTTTTAAATAAACAGGGAGCGAAAAGTAGTGATCATCTGTCTGAGCGGTAAGTTAGACTAAGAGTTCACTATAAAGTCCACTATATAGTCCCTGCTGTATATAGTGAGTGAGGGATTTAGGGACACAGCCCTAAATCCCTCAATCTTTAGCAACCTGAAAGAAATGCCTTATTTTAAATATACATTTATGTATTGTTGAAATCTGCTTTGAGGCTTTTTATATTTCATTGTATTTTATGGATCCTCCTTTCCTTTTTCAGACTTAGGTCACTCAGGATAAAAATATAAAACCCTTTTTTACATTTAGTAGCTAACTGTGTCTCTTGTCTCTCCTACAGTTAATGGCTGCAGTGGGGAACAGTGCAGCCAAGGCCAAGTATGAGCAGAAGGTTCCTCCTTTTTACTACAGACCAATGCACACTGACTGCAAGTAAGCACAATTGATGCAATTGTGATCCTTTTCCTCTTTTACTTTGTTCACTGGTTTGTTGTGGCCGTGTAAAATAGCTTTGAACTTAGCAAAGCAAGATTAAATATGAGCTAGAACTAAATACTGTTCAATCTTAAATATTAAAACTGTGTTGAATTCTGGCCTTTTAAAGCCTGGACTATGAAATACTTGAAAATTCTAATATTTTGAGTTGTAATTCAACCTTCTGACAAATTAAATAAAAAGCATAAATCCTCTATAAGTTAAATTAGATTTTGAAACATAAGGCATTTCTGTATCATCTTTTTAAAGTTTTTTGTTCACTACATGTGCCTGATTGTGTAATATCACACTGATAATGTAAAGGTCTTAAATAGCTGCGGTGTCCGCTTTAAAGTGAAACTTTTAGGATTGAAAATAAAATATATCGACCCATAATCCTTCTCGATAGAATTGAACGTACGGCACGTTACATATATATATACACCCGTCTGTCACTTCAAGTTCTCTGTACCCACTGTAAATGTAATGACACCAAAAAATAACAGCTTTCGTTTGAATTGAGGTTTTGTGAAATGAGTCACTATTAATAAACAAAGCATTACAAAGTATTATTTTTGATGTACTTGTTGAATATTTTTGCTAAGAACAAAGCAGAACTATTTGTTATGAAACCAGTTTGAGCATAAATGAAGGAACATAAAACCAGAGGATGTTTTTAAATCCTTTCTAATCAGCACTTCATGTGAAAAGTGTAAGAGGCATTTGATTAAAGACAATTAAATAATATCTTTAATATTAAGCCATAGGAAGTTTTACTTTCTATAAAAAAGTTACATTTTCTTAACTGTGATAAAGAATTTCCATTTCCTGTAAAGTACCATAAACAAAAACTACATAACAACACAGTATGGGACTAAAACAAGCATAGAATATTCATTTTTTCTGTTTTAAGTTCTCTTCATGGCTTCCTTGCCATGCTGTCTTCCATTTGTTGTATGAGAACCACATTTTGGTAAGCGCACTGCTTCACACCTCATATTGTGCATCTGTCCTTGCTTCCTCTTCCCCTTTCTGAATATAAAAAGGCCACTGATAAGTGTATTCACAGCTCCTCCTTACACCACTTCCTGTTTCAGATTTACAACTTTCGACCATACTGGGTCTAAGTAATTTACATTGTCTGGGGACAGTTATATTACACTTTTTCTGGGACTTTAGAATACTCTTCTCATATACAAACCACAAACTAAAGTGATTAGAATTTAGAAATCCAAGATAACACATTATTTTGGATTTGAAAGAAAAGGATCTAGACAGAAGTAACACGAAAAACCCTTCAGAAAAAAATAAAGCTGTTCCCTCAAGGCCTCAGAGCGTTGGTAGATAACACGGCAAACCAGTCAAATTTATTCCAGAGTCAAATTATAAAACACTTACCAAGGTTGGTCCATTTTAAAAAGGGTTTTGCTAAACTACAAAAAAAACAAAACATTTTTCACCACCAAGGCTGAACTAGGAAAATTATACCTCTTTACCACCAGCCCAAAAATCTGTTTAAACCCAGGAGCAATTGGCTTTTAGTGGCAATGGGAACGGCTCACTGACCAGCATCGACCATTGTTGAACGACACAGGTTAAAGTCGCCTTCAAGCGACTCGGCTCCGATCAGCAAATAGTGAGAACATCAGACTTGGGTTGACCTGCTAATTTATGTGATACCATAGAGCGCCAAGTAAGGCCAGTTACATCTGATCTAACAAGCCAGAGCAACTATGCTTACATTCCATAGGGGGAGGTTCTATTCTAGGGCAGTGGTAGCCTAGTGGTTAGGGCATAGCGCTTGCAGTCCTGAGGTTCTGAGTTCAAGCCCCCCTCCCACAGACTGCCGCTCTGGGTCTCTTAACCCCACACTGCTTCCCGCACATCCTAAAATAACAGCCCACTGCTCCCCAATGGGATGGGTAACTGCCGAGTTAAATTTCTCCATTGTGAGATCAATAAAGTTGAATTATTATTATAAACATGGGGCAGCACTGGGGAGAGAAATTCAGATGGACAGAAGAACAAAACTCCATTGTTTACTTTCCTCATATCTGTCGCAATGGTGACATTATCATTGGTAACCCAGTGTGATGGCGTCACCAGAGATGCAGCAGTGAGGGGATAGAGACCATGCAGCTAGTCAGCAGGTGGTCACACCCAGCCATTTTTGCCAATGGGAAAGGACCCAAAAGTCGATTGTTTTTAATCCCTATTTCAATAAGAAAGAGGCGGTATAACCCTGAAAACTGTGACTGCAGAGAAAAACATAGTGGAGAGAGGACTGTGCTGTCCTCTCTCCACTAAAGCTTGTCTAAAAAGCTTTTTTTAGACAAAGAAGCTTCTCAAACTTGATTGGAAATGGATCTAGCAAAGGAAATGCTTTCATGTGTTACCTTAACACAGGTACCAGCAGTTTGCATTAAAATCTACTTTGGTTTGTTTTATATTTTCGGGCGGAGCTTGGTTCTAAAACCCTCTGGGCTTTACAGGTTAAATCTGATTAAGTCCTTACACCTACAGACCTGCCATAGGTTGCAAATGGGATGTCCTTCCTGCAGCAACCGAGTTTATAAGCTCCTGATCAAAACCCCAGATTTAGCCTGCTGCTATATAGTAGATTGACGATTTTACAAATAAAATTAAGTTGAAAATAATCAGTCTCTAGATGCCCAAAGACACTAGCTTTAACCTGGCAAACCAGATTGATAATCTGTAGCCCTCAGTTTTAGTTCTGCACATTATGAATCTGGGGCCAGCTCCCATCGAATCTGTTCAGGGGAAGGAGGGACTTTAAAAAAAGCCTTTCCAAGCTGATTGGAAATGGCGAAACCTAGTTTTAGTAAATCATGATAAACAAATAACAGCAACAGCTGCCATAGGAAGCCACCAAAATGTACAGCGACAACACAACCTCTAGGCATCCTCGTTTCCGCTTGATGAAAACTTGGATTTTGATTAAACAGATGTGATAGCAGTGGGCGCAGCTGCTCCGGCCTTCGTCACAGCAATGTGTCCCAACTTAAACCATCATATTGGAAGGTGACTGGTGGACCCTTTTGCAACAGACTCAATTCAATTCAGTTCTGTTTAATGCATATAGCGCCAATTCGCAAACACATCGTCTCAAGACACTTTACAGCGACAAATTTAATCATACAGTCAGATTGATAAAAAGTTTTCTATCTAAGGTAAACCAGCTGATTTCTTAGTGTAAATTGATTCAACAATTTTGGATAGAGCAGTTGAGGATTGATTTTGATGTGTTTGTGATATACTTCAAGAATTCAGCTTACAAACAAGGTTTAACTAGCTGCAGGTGGAAGAAAAGACCATGACTCACTACATAAAAAATATGACTCAGGGGGTAATGCAAACACACTCAAATTCTCTCTTCCAATATACAATTATGCACCACTTTGTGACATATTGCATATAATCACAACATTAGAGGCCATGGTTCTATGGCCAGTGTATCAATGGTTGTACCAATGAATCCCATTGAGGCTTGTCTACATATAATCATGTGTGCTACTTGTCCAAAAAGACATAAACACTACAATAAAGAGTCTTATTTCTTCAGTGAGTTCAGATAAAGAGAAATTGCTTTAAGTGTTGCTAGATGATCATGTTTAAAGAAATCCCGTCAAATAGCATCATCAAATTTAGCTGATGTATTGATTGATTTATTTTCATCACGAAAGAGAATTCAGGAAAGTCTTTAAAAAGGGGATTAAAACAGCACTGAGTCTAAAAAGGTAAGACTCAAACGGGGAAAGGAAACCTGATGTAAAACCTTGTCGGTATAGCAATGAAGTGGTTGACTTGTTTATTTTTTCTGCAGGAAAGAGTGAAAATCCAAAAACATTCTTGCTGCTTTTGCATGCAGAATCATTTGCTGCAGCCTAAAAGCTCAATAGAGCTTACTAATAGAACATAAACCTACTGAAAAGCACTGATCAGCACCAGGTCATGGTTTGATCACTTTTGATGTGAGTGCATATTTCCCCAAAAGCTAACTGTGGGTTTTCATTGGGTCTCCAGGCTGCTGAGGGAGCAATGGATTCGAGCCAAGTACGAACGAAACGAGTTTGAGTTTATCGAGAAGCAGGAGCCTTACTCTGCAGGTATGTGCAATAGTAAAACCTTTTTTTGTCATCATAAGCATTCAAAAGCACTAAAGGCCTTCATGTTGAAGGGTTGATCTACGTGCTTCATAACACGTGGTTCAAATCTCATATTAGAAATCTGTCAGCATAGTTCTTAAATGCTGAGATTTAAGTTCTTTAGAGTGATTCTAAACTTAGACTTACATTGCAGAGGTCTAAATGGAAGAATGATAAGCATTGTAGATAATCTTATTTACATTCAGATAAGCTTTCCTGAAGATCTTTCTAAATATTTGTGTATATATGTTTTTATTACACCATATATCATTATTATATAATTTATTTTTATTTTAATCATATATATATATATATATATATATATATATATATATATATATATATATATATATATATATATATATATATATATATATATATATATATATATGTTATAATTTTATACTACAAATGTGTAATATGAGTAAGACTTACTATAAAAGCAAGAAAAGCAAACATTTTGAGATCTTTCAATATAAAACACTAATTTCTTCTTGACAAAGGGAAGGTGGTCTCATAAAGTGTGATTGAATTGCTGTAAGCATACAGCTATATGTTGACATCAGCTGGGAAACGTAAGCTTATACAATGAGCTCTGGATGTAACACTGAGTTCCTAAAAGGACAACAGATCTGAAAATACATACTTTGTTTGCAAGTAAACTCCATGCACAGATTTTAGCATGTCTACAAGTCCTTTTCATTGTTTTGACAACTAACTGCACATTTGTTGCAATCTGTTTTCTTTGTGTCTGTTTATTGAACGGCCCTCCTTCTGTTCAGTTGACGTGAAAAGGCCTCCGCTTTGGGGTTTAAAATAGGGTGACCAAACGTCCGTATTTCCCAGAACCTATCCGTATTTCACGTCCTGTCCCGGATGTCCCGGTTTTTTTTAGAAAGTGAGGAAATGTCCTTTTTTTTAATTACCTTCATTGGACCATTAAATTTACAGGCACTAGGGCACTGCGCACGACACTGCGTGTGACGTAATCCCTGAGCCGCGTCAGTGCGGGCAGCCCTGTTCTTAATCAGAATATAAATAGCGTGGCTGTCAGTAGGCCAACAACATGCCTGTTGGAATATTATGCTTCGTAATTTTTCTTTGATATGTTTTGTTATTGTTTACTACCTTTGCATATTAGCCTATTTAGAAACTACCGTAATTTTTGGACTATAAGCCGCGACTTTTTCCCCATTTTTCGAGCTTGCGGCTTATATAACAATGCGGCTTATCTGTGGACTTTTACAGCTAACGGCCACTAGGGTAATACTTACATCTATGGATTTTACCATCCACCATGTTGACGTCACATTTGCTTCACCACACAAGTACAGTAGCCGCGCGTGCGGGAATGCGGAGGTCCTCCGGAAGCAGACTTCTACCGCGAGTTGTACGAGACAGAATGACAGCGAGAAAGACGGACATTGCAAGCTCAAGACAGTTTGTGTTAAACATAAAAAAAACCTGCGGCCTATAGTCCGGTGCGGCTTGTATATGTACAAATCATGCAATTTAGCTTCTGCGGCTTATATTCAGGTGCGGCTAATAGTCCGAAAATTATGGTATACATAGACCTTACAAGACCACCCCATCCTACTCTTGTATACCTCCTGGCTCCTCCTTTAGCTCCAGAGCGGCACATGGACGGCTGCCTCTACCCCTCTGATACATCCTCTGCCCTGGTTATTACTCTGATCTCCTGCGGCGCCAATCTGAGCCTCTGGTCTGTGGGTGATCCTCTGATCCTCTGCTGGCAAAGTTTCGGTTCCTGGTCAGATAGAAAACATGGAAAGGGCCCAGGATTGAGATAGCTGTGGGATTCCCAGAACTCTGCGCAGGTCTTGAGGATCTGTTGGACCCGGCGCCACCTTTCAGCTTTCTGTAATGAATAAGACACTGTGACCTGCTTGGAAAAAACACACACTGATGCTGAGTTGAATTCGCGAGGCATCAGATAGAACCTCCTTCTAGTGTATTTGATCATGCTTTGAACCGACAGGAGTATAGCTTGTCCCCCGCCATGCAAGGTGCTGGCTAAATGTAAAGCAGGTGATAGCATCAGAATGAGGTGACTTTTTCCCAGGAATTGTGTTCGGTATAAATCCATCACCACTATTTAATTCACAAATATACAAAAATAAGAAAACACATCTAGATGACAGTGCCTAAAATGAAAATAAACACTTCAATGTTTATATATAAAGCATATACTGTATACAGACATACATTTTTACAGATTTAAATGTTTTTTTCTTTCTGCTCTTTGCTGCTTAATCTAAAGGTTAAACCCTATGCATACTAATTGTATGAATGAAGATGTCTATAAGCAGGTGTAAATGTGAGTACATTTTTTCATATTTGTATGTATCTGTTTACAGAGTTGTGTTATGGGGACCTATGTCCTTATGGGGAACAAAATGCTGGTCGCCATATGGTTAAGTTCTGTTCTTTGAGTTGGGCTTAGGGTTAGGGTTAAGTATATGTCTGTAATACTTAGGGTTAGGGTCTGGGTTAGGCCATATAAAATGAATGTAAGTCAATGAAATGTCCCCATAACTCATGAACACACGACAGTGGGTGTTTGTTATGTGTGTCCATGTCTTTGTTACCTGGTGGGGGCAATTTCCCAGGGATATGCTACATTTTGTGGACTTACAGGTCATTTTGGGGACTAACAACTGGTACCCATTGGGGTGGGGGAAAGGTTTAGAACTAAGTTGTGAATTGAGTTTAGGTTAGGTTTATGGTTAGGTATGTGGTAGTAAAAAACCCTGTTAAGTGAGAGAATTAAGAAAAGTCTGACAAATATCATGTCCAATAGTGTCTTTGAAATATATGTGTTGGTTTTGATGTGCTCCCCTTTTCAATAGGGCATTTACACTAAGATCAATAAAATCGATTTAGTGTTATGTCATGGCCAGGTAGAATATTTTTTTGCTTGTCAAACATGCTTTATGTGAGGTATTTATGAGTACCCTCAGGTGCACAGATATTCATTACAGGAACTAGTCAAACATTAAGTTTCAACCACTCATGTTGCAACCACTCACCCTGACGTTCAGTAAAAATAAAAGCTGTTGAGAAGATCTCAGTTCTTTTTTTTTTTTTTACTAAAGGCCATGGTAGGCTGTCTTATCTGGTTTTAAATGTGTAGTCATGTGAATTACGTCAATGTCATCATTTTAGACTGGCTGGCTGTTTGCCTCCTACTGCTCTGCTTCACTCTCCTAATTAGCATGAGTAAATAAACCTGGCTCTCTTCTAACCCTCATCTGAGTTTTATCTTCCCTATTATTACCTGCCTCTCACAGTCAGTCACTGCAGGATTGTCTTGTTACCTGCAAGAGATTTATTTCCAGTGCACTGCCTGCCCATTCTGTATTTCTTTCTTTGCATTTGCTTCTAAAATCTGGTCACTACCTGGACTGCCTCTGCCTGTCATCAGCCTGTTAAGTCAAATCAAAGACAGTTCAGTTATCATCCGTCTTTTTTCGCCTGAAACCAGCCTGTAGAACTCGTCACTAGACTGTTTAGCCTATATCTCCAGTTCAGTCATAATTTCCACATCTTTAGATAAACCTTTCAAGAGCAACATATTGCCTGGCTGCATTTGTAGCAGTCTATGCTTTTGAAATAAAAGACTGGTATGCAAAAGTAGGAGATGGATGTATAAATGGATACAAAATGTAAAGGTTAAGTAAAAATGTTAAAGAGTAAAGGTAAATAAGTTGTGTGATGTATGAGTTACTTACATTGGTCTTAATCAGAAGAAGGTGAGGATAGATAGAATCAGCAGAGCAATACAAACCAGCATATGAGTAAAGACCATTTACCATTTTAGAGATTTTAATAATCAGAATCAGAAGTACTTTAATAATCCCAGAGCGAAATTACTTTTGTTACATGCTCCAGTTACAGTTTTATATTTATATACACACATCTAACTACACAAGATAATAAAAATAAAAATAAAAAAGATCAAATATATACACCTCTTCTGTATATAAATATATATATATATATATATTAGGGATGGAACGGTTTATGCAAACCGTCCGAACCGTTCGGTTTGACTGTCTCGGTTTCGGTTCGCGTTCGTTACGTTCGGTTCATGCGCTGCTCCTTTTTCTCATAAGCGAAGCGTTTACACTCCAGAGCAGAAGGTGGCGGTACTGCGACCAAAGCCAACCACCAGTAGTAAACAAGAAGAAGAAGAAGTGAAGCAGCGTAGCCGGTGTAGCAGAAAAAAATCAGTTGTTGTGGAGAATTGTGTCAGAATGGCGAGTGGGAAAGAACAGGAGTTGGAAGACGCGCCAGCAGCACTCTATAGGTCTGCTGTATGGGACCACTTTGCTCCGCCCCGCTGCGCTCCAGACCGCCTGCGCAAAGCAAAGCACACAGCCTCCGCTGTGGCTCCCGTCTGCTCCGCTCTGAGTTCCTTGGAGATCGTAGAGAGCATGCGCGAGATGATTAAATTTAAAACAGCAAAACATGCGAAAATGATCCATGATTTCCACGGATCATTAAAAATAATTACTATTCATTATTTTTGGGGGATTTTTTCATTAATTTCATAAATTCTTATTATTTTTTTATTTTTCGGTGTAACAATAAACATATACCAAACCGAAAACCGTGACCACGAAACCGTGAACCGAACCGAACCGTGGATTTTGTGAACCGTTCTATCCCTAATATATATGTATGTATAGGCATATGTAAAACTAAAATCAAGTAAAGTGATAATCCAAGTATATTTGGTTTTCACTAAATTTGAGATGAATAAGAAGAATATAAACAAAAATTATGCAGAGATCAATGTAAAACCGAATTTGTTTTCAATTAAAAACTGTATGAAAACAATTGGGGAAAAAAAGATATAACTGTTCTGATGTAACTGCTACAACGCTATGTGGTGAGTATATTAAAACAGCATAGGGTGGGCTGTTTTGTTCATGTGTTTTTGGATATTGTTATAATACTAAGTTCACTCGGTGTACTTTTTAATTTCATAATTATAGCATAGTGTCTTTGTATGTCTTTGCTGTTATTGTATGTGTCAGGTTTGTTTTTCTACATATAAATCTATTTGTTCTGGTAGTAGGATCTGTCTTGTTGCTAGTTTGTCTGTTTTTGACCAGTTTTTTCATGTAAATTTTGAGCCTACTTTTTTGCTCTGTATGTTTTGAATGGGATCTCTTTTGTTTGAATATGGAAAATCAATAAAAACACTTTGATTATTATAAATTCATTTGCTAAAGCACACCAATACCTGCAATCCTCACTCTGACTCTGAATGGTGTCACATACACATTCTCTGTCTAGAAAGCTTGGCTGGCTGGTTGCTGTGTCAGGCTTTCTCTTGTTCACCCTCCAATAAGCAAAACCTTGAAAACTCCTTGCACCAACATCTCAGAAAATTAAATTACCCTTAAACATTCATTGACGTATTCAAACTCTTGTTGTTTTTTCATCCTCCTTCTGCTAAGTGGTTTTGTGGATATGTTTGCCATTAGAAACCTTTTGAAGCAATGACATTCTGATTGTCGCTGCCGGAGAGTGGAGCTGCTATTAAAACATTGAGTGCATTTGTCTGCCTGGCTGTATTTAATGTGTGTTTGGCCTGTGAGTACCTTACATGTATTGCCTTGTGATCAAGAGTCTCTCCTAGTATGCATTTCACATTCTAGTGTAGTGATGATCCACTCTGATTGGTTTTTAGTGAGCTCGCCATTTTATTGAGACAGTGTAGAATAACACACATCCACACATACCAAAAAAACAAGTAGGATTAAATGAAATCTTTTTTCTTTGTAAATTTTTGCATCCTTCTCTCCATTTTAGCATCACTGGTGTTTTTGTTTGGGAAATTTACCATATGCAGTAACCTGACAGCCAACAGTGACGGTATGCCAAGGAAAAGGTGGAAGGAAAGTGGTGTGGAAAGAGTTAATGATGGGGATGGGCTATTGATTTATGAGGTAATGCCTGTTTAGGTCAAGTCAGGAAATCACAAAGGAGAGATAAAGGACCAGAGAGAAAGAGAGTGAAAGTAGATTAGCAGTAGATGAACAAGGAAGCACAGAATAACTCTGTATGTGTGGTTACTCATTTATGTTAACTATTTAAAACCTTGTCTGGTGTATTTACTGATCTTAAAGATGGACAGGCATTAAGGAGACCAAAGTCTGGTCCTGGTGTGGTGGACCCTCATTTTTTATTTTAGAGGCTTTGTTGAAAGGAATGGTTTGATTAACATTTTAAAAGGTTAGGCTAAAAAAATGCTAGTAAAGGTTTGGTTAAAATGTAGTTTGGCATAAATGTAGGAGCTGAAATGAATGTTAGGGGGAATAGAATTTCAATAATAAATAATAAACAAAATATAAATAAAAAAGCTTTTTTTTACATGTTGGAATATATTTGACATAACTTAATTTTTTTATATGTTGATATCCTTCAAAGAGATAATCAAAATTATTTTAAATTTAGATTATTATTTTTTTTTTAAATAATGGCTCTTGTAGTTTACTCATTAGTATCAAATTTGCATGGCACCAGCAGGCACCTGCTGTTTTCATGGCCGATGAGAGACTATTGCAGCCACGTGCAAAAAATGAATTATTTTTAATCCCTTGGTTGTTAAAGGGTGTATTTTCATTAGCAGGTTATTATTTGTTTCCTGATTCCAGTGCAAACATGGACGCCTTAGTCGCTGTACTTTGAGTCTGTAACCCAAACTAACTAGCCCCAATCATCACTATCCCTTCCTTATTTTAGGTCATTTCAAAATATTTGCATCCAGGAGGCAATTTTAAAACCATCAAGAGACCAAAATAAAACCTCCATCCATCCATCTTCTGACATGCTTTATCCCAAGTGGCGAGAGGCGGCGTACACCGTGGACAGGCCGCCAGTCCATCGCAGGGCAACACAGAGACAAATAGGACAAACAACCATTCACGCACTCCTACCAAACGAGAATTTGGAGAAGTCAATTAACCTAACAGTCAGGTTTTTGGAACGTGGGAGGGAGCTGGAGTACCTGGAGGGAACCAATGCATGCTCAAGGAGAACATGCAAACTCCATGCAGAAAGATCCTGGGCTGGGAATCAAATCTTTAACTTTATTGCTGCAAGGCAGCAGTGCTACCCACTGCACCACTGAGCAGCCCAAAATAAAACCTTTTCGAAACAATCAGTTAAAACTATCAGTTACCAATCTTAAAGATAAACAGGACCTCCAGCAAATGCTTTTAACCTCTTCTGTTTTTTAGAAATAGGTCTGCTGTCAGTAATATGTTTCACAGCCATCACTGTTTAGAATTACACACCGACTTCTAATCGCTTATGTCTTTTTGGGAAGAAACAAAACTTCCAGCAGTACCTTTTTCATATTAAACAGAAGGTTGAATTATAAAGTAATCACCGCTTTCCAAATATATTACCAGATCAACCTTAGACAGCTTTATTCTCTTAAAGCCCTGAAGTAGGTTTGGATTAAACTCAGCACTGCAGCCTGGCAGTAATAGAAGAAAAGGATGGTGTGTGGGCTAAACATGAAATAGGCTGAAGAGGGGGACTTTAGGCTCTGTAGATAAAACAGCACATCATGAAAGCATCAAATGCAAAAGGAAGGAATATCTGTGCTGAGTCATTCTCCGGGTTCATTCTCCTATTTCTTACATAAATTCTCTTCTTTTCCCTATCTTCAAATATGGTTTTTATTTTATTTTTTTTTCAACAAATCACCTCCAACACCAGTTAAAGACTCACTATTACAACAGCAAAATAAACCTCTGTTCAATATCTTTTAAAGAGGGTTTATTTCCATCTCCCTTCAAACAGCTTTTTTTTCCTTTCTACTCAGGGTACCGAGAAGGGTTTCTATGGAAACGAGGGAGAGACAACGGCCAGTTCCTCAGTAGAAAGTTTGTCCTGTCGGAGAGGGAGGGAGCACTCAAGTACTTCAACAAGCAGGATGTAAGAAGCAGGAAACTCTGGCGTGGTAAAAAAAAAAAATGTAGTGCTTGTATGAAACCTTTATTTTGAAATGCTCTTCCTTTAAGGCCAGAGATCCCAAGGCAGTGATGAAAATTGAAACACTCAACGCAACCTTTCAGCCAGCCAAGATAGGGAATCCCTGTGGCCTGCAGATCACCTACCTGAAAGACAACAGCACAAGGAACATCTTTGTCTACCACAGCGACGCCAAGGTAGAGTGTCATCTCCATATATGGACAAATTGCCCATGTGCTCTACAATGAAACCCACTTTGGGTCAACTCCAAAAATAACTTTAAAGAGCAAAATAAGGTGAAAGTATTTTTGATCGGTTTCACTAAAAATACTTAGTCATCAGCATAACATCTATTTTTGTGTCATTTTTTTACCATCTTCTTATCATAGAAATGTTTTTGTCATGGCAAAGTATTTTTAGGTGATGCGTTCTCTGAAGTTCCAAATTATTCTATTTGCATAGATTTTATCTAGAGTGAAAATATTTTGAATTTTAAGCCACTCATGCAGAACTACTGCAGCTGCTCTGACTTTACTTAATATGACCTCGTTGGCTAAACCCAGAGAGATGGTCACTCATTGTGATCTTCATTTTGGTCTCAGTTTATTTGTCTCTCTCTTAATTTTGAGCAATAAACACAAGTTCTCAATTGAGTTAATGTTGACATAGTTTCCTAACCATTCATCTGAAATATAAAGGAAATTGCCAGACTTGCATTTCCTTCTCAACTGTACAGTTCGATTGAAAATGAGGGTAGAGGCAGCGCTACTGTTAAAAGCATTGTACAGTAAGGCCAATTGGTTGAATGGCAGCTATGAAGGAGGATTTTCCCTCTGAATTCTTGGTTACTAGATAAAGACTTTGCTCCAGTTTCCTTATATCTTTGTGCTTTTTGCAAAAAGCCATTGAGGACGGTCTTTTTAGTTAAACGAATAGTACACCCAAAACATGATTAGCCTTCATTTTCTACTCACCCCCATGCTGAACAACACTCTGGAGTACTTTTTTGATATCTGAGATATTTGAGATCTGGGAGGCTTCCTGCTGTCTGCTGACATTCAAATAATGGAGGTCTATGGTGCCCGAGGCAGAAAGGTCCATAAAAGTCCACAAAAAACGTGTCAGTATTCCTCCATACTGCTCGTCCAATGTATTCCAAGTGTCCTGAGTGGGTAGCATCCAGAATTTACTCGAAACGAAGTCATTTAGAATGTTTTTAGAGCATAAACAGTAGTGTATAGGATTTCCTAAAAGCGCGTTCACGAGTCTACCACTGGTCTTAATGAAATTATACACTTCATATTAAGCAACTCAAAAACATAATCTTCAGCAGTCGGATGTGTTTATCATGATTAATGAAATGTGAAAGGTAAATGTTAATAAAATGTGCTTGAAAAGTACTTTATTTTGACAAAAGTAGAACAGTTCTTTTATCAATTAATATTTTAAGCAGAATGAATTGCTCTTCTAACAAATGCAACAGAATAGAACAAATGAAAACATGATTCAAAGCATGAAGAAAATCCCATTTCAAATGAGAGCTCTGCCCCCTCTGCTGGTTGAAGAGGAGTACTAGCAGGTTCACTGAGTTCAGTCTCTCTTACTCTGCTGATGAGCTGCTGGCGGAGGCTGGGGTCAGGCTGGGGGATGCAACTCACTGTGAGTGGAAGACACTACAGGGAAAGAAAGGAGAAATTACAACTAACCTGTATTTGTTTTGATCAGAACCAAAAAATCTCCTTATTTGGCCGATTTGTTTTGCAGACGATGCTCCTAATGTGTTTGTTTTTCACAGGAGATGGTGGACTGGTTCAACGCCATCAGAGCGGCCCGCTTCCACTACCTACAGGTTGCCTTCCCTGGAGCCAGTGATGAGGAGGTGAAAAAAGGCAGATTAATCAGACACCTTTCTGGGGGCCCAGCTTGTAGCTTCGACAGATTAGACACTGCAAATCTAGAAATAAGTAAAAAATGTCTTAAATCAAGTGTATTTACCCTTAAATTTACTAGGTAAATAAGATGAAATGCCAACAGAATTAGTATTTTTTACTCTTAAAGCTACAGTGTGTAATAATTACAGGGATATAAAGTCAGAAATGTAATATATTATACATAACTATGTTATTTATCATCATCTACGAGCTCAGCCTCTTAACCTTAATATTTGCGTTGCCTTAGAATTCGTTATTTATAATTACATAGGAGCGGGTCTCGCAGCCATGGAGGCAGACATCTTTGCGCTACGGCAAGCGCAGAGCCAACAAACTAGCGATTGCGAGATCGCCCGTTACGCTCGAAAATAACTACGGCAAGTTGAGAGAGATGAACTGGGACGGTACTGAACAATAGATGGCAGTATTATGCCTGAGAAGCGTTTAGTCTGCCTGAAACCAAAGAAGAAGAAGAAGCAGGTATACTGCGCCTCAGTAACAAGAAAGGTGAACAAGGCGGCAGGCGTGAGTGACTTTGCAAACTGTTTGGCACTGTGTGGCCAAACATCAGACGAATGGAGGATCATGCCTACTCTGTATCACAACGAAAAGCGGCGGACACCGAACCCCCGTCATCTAAGAAGCGGAAACACGACGAGCATAAACGCAAGCGTGACAAGAAACGGCAAAAAACACGGATCAACATTGGCACGGCATTTACACGATGGAAGTCACTGATGGAGGAGAAAGGTTTTCAAAGTGACGCTCAAGTTGCCAGTTTTCTCTTGGACAGGTAATTAATCCTATACACACAATTGTCTAATATCACTGCAGTTTTTGGAGTACAGGATGCTCAGACCTGTCTAAAACAATAACATGCTGCGTGATGATGCTGTTACACTCCAGTATACTTATTCAGCAACGTCCCTGACGTTTCACAGATAATGACTCAGTAATTTTCTGTAAAATAATTTTCTGGATATTTACCTCGGTTACTTCTCTCCGGCTCCTTTGGAGATCTTCAAGCCTTTCCTCCTCTGCTCTAGTCACCCCGCTGGCACCCCTCCCTCGCCTGGCCCCAGCTGCATGCCCTCGCCCTCTTCCTCTCCCTCTTCCTCGCCTTGTAACCCCCGTGCCACAAACATGACTTGGACTCTGTAAACGGGGAATATATATTCTTCCAGCGAACACAATCTCGCTGTTAAACTAATGACTACAATTACTTCGTCTGTTTATATCACCATGCAAAGCAGCTCACCAAAACGTCACAACGATGTAGAAAAAATAACGGGTATATTTATTATCTTAAGTCTACATGAAATCTATACCCTACACAGACTAATGAAATACTATCTGTAAAATTATCTATGTAAACAAACCTCATCACTTGAGAAGGTAGGTGATGCGGACGTCCTGGAAGACATTTTGTCCCGTAACGCTCGCCGTACTGTTGGGAGGGAGAAGCGGTGGAGGGGAGATGTTCATGTTGCTGCAGTCTGCAGTCTGGACGTTAGATGTCGCTGAAAATTACACACTGGGCCGGATTTATCAAAGGTTTGCGTGTATTAAAACGTGAGCTATTTCACTGCGCACGCTAAAAAATGTACAAACTGATCTATCAACAGCGTGCTAAAAGGATTTGGTCTTTAAAACGTGCTAAATAGCGCCTCTTATCCATTTAGTACTTTTTCTGCAATGAATATTCAATATAGGGCGTTTACACGCAAAAGTGCGTCTTGTGGGAGGAGAACATGTAAATATATTAATTTAGCACTCGCAAAGTGATTTATCAAACCTGAAAGCAATTTTGCTAAAGGTATCTGACTCTATATTTAACACGTTTCAAAAGAAGGTGCAAATGGTCTGTATGCGTAATTGCGCACACATGGCAGCGGTTATTGTCGCAAGAAGGAGACATCGAAATGAAGCAATGAGACGCAGAGAACGCATTTTTTCACTCCGTGTGAATATTTTTGGAATGAACGAGGAAACGATCATCAAAACATATCGTTTATCCGGCATTGCCATTTTGGAGCTGTTGGGGGAACTCCGAATGGATTTGGAGCCAGCCACAAGGAGGACCCACGCAATACCAGATATCACAAAACTCCTCGCAACATTGCACTTTTTTGCATCTGGGATCTCCCAATCTCGTTTTTCAGAAGTGCTGTCCGACGTTCTAAATGCCATGTCGCCCTGACGCCCTACCGGAGAACCCCGACACCCTGCGCCTGTGGAGCAACATGCCAATGCAGTCATCTTATCCACAGTCACTTCTTGTGAGCCATTTGGTATGTGCATTGTTCTACAGGCCGATACAAAACACCTGTTTTTTTTTTTGTTTGTGTGTTTTTTTCTTACTGCGGTGAAGTAGAAATTCAGCCACATACCACCTTAGGGAATAAAGGTTGCCAAAGTTTATATATATATATATATATATATATATATATATATATATATATATATATATATATATATATATATATATATATTTTTTTTTTTTTTTTTTTCTTTTTTTGGAGGGGGTGGTGTCACTGTAAGATTAAAATTTCTTAATGCACTAGTTTGCACAAACTACTTTGCCGCAAACCACAAAACGCGCAAAACCATCATTTAAATAGGGCGTCTCCAACAGTTTTGCGCCTGCCACCAGTTACGCAATCACTCTTGTTAAATCACCCGCAAACCATGGTTCAGCCCCTCGCGCAAAATTCCACTTTGCGAGCGCAAATTACTGCACGCAAAATTGGATCTTGATAAATCCGGCCCACTGTAGCTTTAAAATAAGATAATTAAATAGTATGGGCTTGTAATAAGACAATGCAGTTGCTTTTTCTTTTTTTAATGTAAATTGTCTTGTTCCATTGGTAAAGTGTCCGACTTACCTTCTCCATTCAAGACAAAATGCATCTATTTTTAGAAAGCAATATATTTATTTAGATTTCCATTTTTTGCAGTGAGGTTAGCCAGTGTTTCAAATAACACTGAGATTATATCTCCCTCAAAAGTTTGTCTCTTATTATTACCTCTGTTTTAAATCATCGTTTAAAAATGTCCAAGTTTAGTTTCTCTTCCTGATGGTTACTTCTTTTAATTCTGCTTATCTTTTATCTTAAATTTCCTTAACGTTTGAAGATCAATTTTGTGATATTAATCAAAAGGCCTCTGATTTTTTTTTCTTTTTACGTTTTTCTCAAATAACAGGTTTTATAAAAGGTATTTCTATGTGTTCATTTGAGAAGGGACAAATAGGAGTCTTTGCCTGAGCCTCTGTCTCCTATCTGGTCTGGACCGGTTGCCCACAACAAACCAGCCCTCTTTGCAACTGTTGCCATCAATCAATCAAACCTCCCACACAGACATGTTTTCTCTCACCCACCCCTCCTTTTCTCAGCTCAGTATTTATTAGCTTTTTAAAATCCTACAGTAGTGATGAATCTTTGGTTTTCTGACCAGAAGATGGCTTGTTTGTGTCATTTTGTTTGGGTTCAGAGTCGTCTTGCATGCTAGCACCCAACTTCTCAGGCAATATCTTAAATGTAAGCTGCTAACATCATGAGATTGACTCTCCCAAATCTGAATACTGAAAAGTTGAAATTTAATTTTGTTCAATTTGACTTGTTTAAAGTTTTAAGTCTATAGTTACTTAAATAATAATTATCCATCCCCTTTCCCCATATTTCAATTTCTCAGTTTTCTCCTTTTTAGTCTTATTGTATTTCTTTATGAATATTTTTCTTTGTTCCTTGTTTATTTTCTACATTTTTCTGAGCAAGGATTGCTGGACTCTTATAGATGTGCTTTTTATTTTACACCTTACTGCTACTGATGGGGTAAAGCTTCAGCGCTGCTATATTTCCTTAAACTTAAAGATTTTGTTTTGTTTCTAACCTCGTATCAAAATGTGTTTGGAGTTAATAAATTAAGGGGAAATAGGCTTAATAGATTTACAATAATAAAAAAGTAGTTTATATTATCTTTTAAATGTTGTATGATGATTCTTAAATTTCACTCATTTAAGATTTCATCCACATCTTATTTTTTTTCCCCTGTAGCTGGTGCCCAAACTGACCCGAAACTTTATGAAAGAAGGCTTCATGGAGAAAACCGGACCAAAGGTTTGTCACGATCATCCTGATTAACAACAACTTTTCTAGAATCAAGCTGAACGTACATCCATCAGAAAGTGTCCCGATAATCTGACTTCTTCTTTTCTGCTAGAAAAACAACCCGTTAAACAGATCATCAGTACAGCTTATCACTTATCATTTTCTTTCTCTCTGTCAGTGCTATTTGCAGTTCATGTGCCTGCATCATCTAGTGTTACTATAAAAAATGAAATTAACTAGTATGCAATTTATTTACAGTAAAAGTTTCATCTGGTTTATACTTTTTGGTTTCTACTGTGACAGCAATCTATAGAAATAACCTGTAGTGTAAGATCAACAACAAATAAATTATGAATTACATTTGACAAACATAGACATTGGCTAATCACTTTCTGTTCACTTCAAAAAAAGTTTAAAAATCAATCCACTGGACTTTGTTTCCAAGTTTGAAGATGTTTCGCTTCCCATCCAGGAAGCTTTATCAATTCAAAATGTCAGAATTAGTGTTGAGTTTGGCCTTGTTTTAGTTTAGCAAACATGCTAATTGAAATGGACAAATATGTCCACCCCTTTGGAATGGGGGTCGTTTGGGTTCTTTGTTAGCCTGCAATGCTCCATACCTCTCTATGTCTCAGAAAGGGGGGTCGTTAAAGTGAATAGTTGGTCTGGCTGAATAGACTCTGTAGGACACGCCCCCTCCTCATTTGCATAAAGAGGCAGGAATGCATAGAGAAATGTAAAAAAGGCGGGCAGAAATAAATAGCGGCGAAGAAATAACTAGGGTAAAAAAACTACAAAGGAAGAATAAAACAGACAAAAATATTATAACATGCACATAAATAAATGCTTAAAATATAAGTAATTAAAAAGAAAGTTGAAGATTATAAAGGACCAAAAAAATAAGGTAAATATTACAAAGGCAAAGAAATAAAGAAGCTAATTAAAAGAGTTATATACATTTATGTCTCACTGTATAATTTAATTTCTACTTACATTTGTTTGTTGATTGTATTTTTGGTGGCAATTAATTGTACGCTTATATATTTATTGAGCATTTATTTATTTTTAAATATGGCAGAGTTGGTCCTCCATACAGGGACTTCTGTTCCGCTGTAAAGGGGAACAGTTTGCATGTTTTCTAAGCCAAAACAAGGCTTTGTTTTGGATCCACTATATAAAGCCTGGATCTCAATGCTATTTCTGACATTTTGAATTCAAAATGCTTCCTGGATGGGAAGCGAAATGACTTCAAACTTGGAAAAAAAAGGTCCAGTGGATTGTTATTAATCCTTTTTGGATTGACTATGACATGGATGATTGAGAATCTTCACCAGCATATGTCTCATTACAGAAAAATTCAAAATACTTTATTAATCCCAAAGGGAAATTAAACGTTGCAGTAACTCAGGTGTTGTAGGTGTTGATAGCTGTAGGCAGGAAGGATCTTCTGTAGTGGTCTGTGTTGCACCACCTCTGGAGAAGCCTCTTACTGAAGACACGCTGTTGTTGCAGCAATCTTCTGAAAAGGATGCTCGCAGCTCTCCATACTTTCTTCCCTTTATTAAGAATTCATCTTTGTAAAGGAGCTTATTTAAGTCATTAGCTTTAATACTGTTACCGCAGCAGTGGATGGAAGAAGAGATCACACTCAACAACAGACTTATAGAAATAAACGATAAAATGTCAAGTGTGTTCTTGAATAATTGAGATTTTATCTGAAACAGGTAGAAAATACAAATTCTGCTCTGCAGATCTAACAGGGAGATTGCTGCTCACTAATCTGAACAAATTAAACAGGGATGTACAGCATTTTTTACTCAAAATGAAACACTGATATACCATTTTAAGTATCCTCTATTATTGGCTGAATTGTTTAAACTAATATCAGGACAAAAGACGAGGATCTATGTTAGATTTTCCACTCTTGAAAAGAGGTTTTCTCTGGTTTGTTTCTGCGCAGTTTGGCTTCTTCTTTGGCAGTTTTTAAATCATTTAAATCTTTTAATCAATATGATGTGCATCTTTATGTAAGGATTTAGTAACATGCATTTACAATATATTGTCATGATGGGATTCAGGTTTCTAACCCACATGCAGAACACAACGGAGGCAGATGAAAAGTTTGACTGTTTATTGAGATAAACACAAAGTTATATAAATAATACTGAGAAGCAGATCCGGGATTGGTCACACAGGGTTCTCTGTAGAGAGGGACAGTTAGGTTAGCCAGGATGCTGAAGATCTTAGCCAGAGGAATTGTGCAGGTTTGTACCTGTGACGTGGTTCAGGTTAGCAGCTGAGGAGGGGAACCGGGTTGGGTCCAGAGGCTTGAAGTTGGCAGAGGGCAGGGCTCGACTTCAGACTTATCAGTGTTCAGATCCAGAGTCTTCTTCCGATCCTCTTCTTGAGGGTGGGCAGGCAGGTTCAGACAGTTAGATTCTTCAGATGAGCTCCTGAGAGCCGGCAGGCAGATTTCAACAGATGAAGCTCTTCCAGAGTTCCAGGGTTATGTCAGGTTTCTTCCTAAGAGGCAGAGAAGACAAAAACTGATCAGGTTCAAGTTCAGGTTTCAGGGGAGTCAGAGAATCAGACAGACTGGTTGGCTCAGGCTTTGCTAACCATAACTGGCTTAACATTCTGCCGCTGGAGTGTAGTCCCGCCGCTGCTTATATGCTGGTCTCCTGATGACTGATGGATCGCAGGTGTGGTCGTCAGCTCAACTCCAGGAGACCTAGAGGCGCCCTCTGCTGGAGGAAGGTGGACAGACCTCCAGATCCCAACATACACTATATTGCCAAAAGTATTTGCTCACCTGCCTTGACTCACATATGAGCTTAAGTGACATCCCGTTCCTAATCCATAGGGTTCAATATGACGTCGGTCCACCCTTTGCAGCTAGAACAGCTTCAACTCTTCTGGGAAGGCTGTCCACAAGGTTTAGGAGTGTGTTTATGGGAATTTTTGACCATTCTTCCAGAAGCGCATTTGTGAGGTCGCACACTGATGTTGGACGAGAAGGCCTGGCTCTCAGTCTCCGCTCTAATTCATCCCAAAGGTGTTCTATCGGGTTGAGGTCAGGACTCTGTGCAGGCCAGTCAAGTTCATCCACACCAGACTCTGTCATCCATGTCTTTATGGACCTTGCTTTGTGCACTGGTGCACAGTCATGTTGGAAGAGGAAGGGGCCAGCTCCAAACTGTTCCCACAAAGTTGGGAGCATGGAATTGTCCAAAATGTCTTGGTATGCTGAAGCATTCAGAGTTCCTTTCACTGGAACTAAGGGGCCAAGCCCAGCTCCTGAAAAACAACCCCACACCATAATCCCCCCTCCACCAAACTTTACACTTGGCACAATGCAGTCAGACAAGTACCGTTCTCCTGGCAACCGCCAAACCCAGACCCGTCCATCAGATTGCCAGATGGAGAAGCGCGATTCGTCACTCCAGAGAACGCGTCTCCACTGCTCTAGAGTCCAGTGGCGGCGTGCTTTACACCACCGCATCCGACGCTTTGCATTGCACTTGGTGATGTATGGCTTGGATGCAGCTGCTCGCCCATGGAAACCCATTCCATGAAGCTCTCTGCGCACTGTTCTTGAGCTACATGAAGTTTGGAGGTCTGTAGTGATTGACTCTGCAGAAAGTTGGCGACCTCTTCGCACTATGCGCGTCAGCATCCGCTGACCCCGCTCCGTCAGTTTACGTGGCCTACCACTTCGTGGCTGAGTTGCTGTCGTTCCCAAACACTTCCATTTTCTTATAATACAGCTGACAGTTGACTGTGGAATATTTAGGAGCGAGGAAATTTCACGACTGGATTTGTTGCACAGGTGGCATCCTATCACAGTTCCACGCTGGAATTCACTGAGCTCCTGAGAGCGACCCATTCTTTCACAAATGTTTGTAAAAACAGTCTGCATGCCTAGGTGCTTGAATTTATACACCTGTGGCCATGGAAGTGATTGGAACACCTGATTCCAATAATTTGGATGGGTGAGCAAATACTTTTGGCAATATAGTGTATATAGCCACCATATCCTTGGATCAGTAAATCCTTCATGTCATGAACATGCTCCGAATGCTGAATGGATTATTACTAGGAGGCATCAAGCTTCTGTTTCCTACTTCCTTCCTTACTGCCAGCACAATTCAGACAGCACTTGTCACACTGCAAAAACGAGCTAGAAATAAGTACAAATTTCTTAAATTAAGTGTATTCACCCTTAATTTGAGTAGGTAAATTAGATAGTTTGCCAATGGAAGGAGTATTTTTACACTTAAAATAAGATAATTAGATAATATGCACTTGAAATAAGAGAATGCAACTAAATTGTCTTGTTCCATTGGCAAAATGTATCTTTTTACCTACTCAATTCAAGAAGAAATGCACTTATTTTAAGGAAAAATGACTTATCTAGATTTAGATTTTTTGCGGTGAGTGACTGTTTATGCAGTTCTTCTCCGGGTTAAGTGTCTGACGGGATTACTGCGTTTAGATGGACTGCTCCTGTGCAATGATTAACCAGGAGAGCCTGGGTTCTTCTAATCAGGCAATGAATTGGTCATTAAACCAAATCCAAGACATTTAGGATTTTTTTTGACTAATCAGCTTCCCTCAAAACAACATGGTAGAATAGTAAAGAAGAGGTAGTATTATGGTTTTTAGATATTCTGTAACATCACATTCAGTTTTTTCCCTGTTTTAAAAATTGCAATTTTGTTTTTATCCAATTTTACAAGAAGATGGTGCTTCAGTGGTAACATTAACTTTAGTTATTCTTTAACATATTACATGGAAAACAGGTAAGCATGAAAAAAGACTAGAAGCCTTAAAATTTTCCTATCAAAGCTCCTTTAAAAATATACATATTTCATTGGCCTTTTTAACCAACGTTGTTTAACCATCATTTGTTTGATCATTACTAATTTTGCTTGCAGATGATGTCTGTTCAAAGTGCTTATAAATAAAGTTGGCCGGACTTGTTTGCTCTCATATTTTCCCCATCTGTCTTGCTCTGCTGCAGCACACAGAAGGCTTTAAGAAGAGGTGGTTTACCATGGACGACCGGCGACTCATGTATTTCAAAGACCCTCTGGTGAGTAGAGACCCGATTCCTCCCACTCTTTAACAGAGCTGACTTGTTGGACTCACACCGGTTCCCGTCTGTCCGACCCTCTCTGCCCCCAGGACGCCTACGCCAGAGGGGAGGTGTTCATCGGCAGCAAGGAGAACAGCTACACCGTCCTGTCAGGTTTGCCCCCGTCCACGCAGGGCTACCACTGGAACCACGGCATCACCATCATCACACCTGACAGGAAGTTCCTCTTTGCCTGTGAGACGGAGGCCGAGCAGCGTGACTGGATCGCAGCCTTCCAGAGAGTCATTAACCGACCAATGAGGCCGCAGGAATATGCAGGTTTTTATTTGCAATATTCGAGATACAAAGAGAAACCGGACTGATCTGAAGCTTGAAGACTCAACTGTTTAATAGGAAGCTGCTCAGCCCTGTTTTTATAATGTTAAAAAATGGTTAAACATAGAACCATAAATCCTCCAGAAGATCAGACCTGGTTGATTGACTCTGCAAACCTTCAAAACGAGGCTATTTTTGATGGTATTTCAGCATAGCCTATAGGTCACACACTTTTAAAAATGTTAAAAAATTGTCTACAAATCTGTTCTTTACATTTTTATAACATCTGCCTTTACTCAGAATGAAAAAAAAAAGTTAAACAGGCAAAACAAAGCACCTACCTATCCCTCATTTTGTTCAGTATGGTCTGCTGTGTATCTGTACCTCACTTAATGCCTTTTTCTCTTTCTTTCTAGTGGAGGCCCATTTTAAACACAAGCCTTGAGGCCTGCAGAGAGTCCAAATACATCTGGTCCAGCCCTGTCAGAGAGATCAAAGGAAGCCCCTGGACCGCACAACATGAGGGGAGGCATCAGGGCTGATTGGGGTTTGGAATGAGCCAAGATTAGAAAAGAAGCAGAGAAAGCAGAAACTTTGAAGGACTTTAGTCTTTGTAAAGACAATCGTTGGAATGATCTTAGAGGGAAGAGTAGAAATTATGTCTTTCAATGCTTTGTGCTCTCCATTAATCCATCCCTCAGCCATGTGGACCTCTCATCTGCATCCAGCTCCCCTTTCATCCCTAGAATGGTTCTTTCCTCCTGTGATCCTATGTAGTTATGTAAGCTAGAGTCATGTCACTGATTGCTTAACTGAGACAAACACATTTTTAATTTATTGAATGTACATTTTTCGACCACAGTGTCTTAACCGTGCGCGTGGAATGGTCATGTTTTCGTTCAGGACTCTGCGAGGTTAAAAATGGCGCTGAAACCCTGGTAAACCTGAATTCTACAAAGTGCTGTTAACAACAACAACCATGCCTACAAACTAAACTTGCACACGAACGCTCAGTGAACACCACCGCTGTTAATGATGCTGGAGCAGGCGGACCTGCGTCCGACCAGGGTGCTTTTAAAAACCTCCGCTCGACAGCCTCGCCCTTATTTATTTATACTGTCCAACATACCAAGTCATGATGGGATGTTCATTTTTGCTGCTTTCATGGATTGTAATGTGAAAGGGTGGATATTTGTGAAGCACTTCTACAACTGTTCATTCTATTCTTTGGATTTTGTTTTAAAGGCACGCTGTTATGTTGATCCTCGCATCGTTGTGGGAAATAAATTCTTAAGATCCTAACGTGAAAACGGTGGAACCAGAGATCAGATGGCAGCATGTGTGTGTTCTGAGTGTTTACTTGGTGGTTTGGACTACATGCATGTTTCTACACACTCTCACTCTTCTATTAATACTGAATTCTAATTTGTACTTCTTAGTATTTAACCAATATTCTGTTTTATTGTTGCATTAACTCATAAGTATGACAAAGACTCACAATATCACCTTAACAACGTTATTTTCAAAAAGATTCACTTTATTTAATAATCCTCATAAAATTAGGCAATGTGTAATTTGTCCAGCAGGTGGAGCCATTCACCTGCTTATTTCTTTTCTCTTCCCATCTAGATTAGTTTTTTTCCTTTAACCATAACTTATGTAAAGGAAAATTGTAGAATTATGATTTTACTGGTTGGAGACAATTAAAAGAAATAGGATTGAAATTCAGAGTAATTCCTTGCCTTGCTAATTTTTTGTTTCTATTAAAAGGCTCCTCTCATAAGGATTGCACTCCTATAACGGTAACACACAATTATATTTTATTTCTATTTAAAGAAAAAAATCAGAATTTCAAGGTTCCAAGTTGGAAAGATTTATGAAAGTTGGACAATAAAACATGTTTCTGGACATCCTACTGTGGTAGAGCACTGTGCCACAGTGCTGTACCATTTCACTGTCACGCTTGTTTAACGATCCTGTATTACCCCTTACTTAATTACCTCAAAAACTCCAGAGACCAGTACTCAAGTTGAGGGGGAGGGCATCAACATTCTTAAGAAAATCTTAAAAATCACCCCCCTTCCTGACATTTTATTAATGTGTAAAATTTCTAGTATATATTAACAGTAATGGCAATAATATTGCCCTTTCAACATTTATCAGGCTGTTGGCTTTTGAATAGCCTGAGCAAAATAAACAAAAAAAATGAAGTGTCCTCTGTACAGGTGCTGGTCATAAAATTAGAATATCATGAAAAAGTAGATTGATTTCAGTAATTCCATTTAAAAAGTGAAACTTGTATATTATATTCATACATTACATACAAACTCATGTATTTCAGATGTTTATTTTGTTTAATTTTGATGATTACAAATGACAACAAATGAAAATCTCAAATTCATCATATCAGAAAATTAGAATATTACTGAAGACCAATAAAAACAAAGGATTTATAGAAATGTTGGCCAACTGAAAAGTATGAACATGAAAAGTATGAGCATGTACAGCACTCAGTATTTAGTTGGGCCTCCTTTGGCCTGTATTACTGCAGCAATGCGGCGTGGCATGGAGTCGATCAGTCTGTGGCACTGCTCAGGTGTTATGATAGCCCAGGTTGCTCTAATAGTGGCTTTTAGCTCTTCTGAATTGTTGGGTCTGGTGTATTGCATCTTCTTCTTCACAATACCCCATAGATTTTCTATGGGGTTAAGGTCAGGAGAGTTTGCTGGCCAATTAAGAACAGGGATACCATGGTCCTTCAACCAGGTACTGGTAGCTTTGGCACTGTGTGCAGGTGCCAAGTCCTGTTGGAAAATGAAATCTGCATCTCCAAAAAGTTGGTCAGCTGCAGGAAGCATGAAGTGCTCTAAAACTTCCTGGTATGTGGCTGCGTTGACCCTGGACCTCAGAAAACACAATGGACCAACACCAGCAGATGACATGGCACCCCAAACCATCACTGACTGTGGAAACTTTACACTGGACTTCAAGCAACGTGGATGAAGTGCCTCTCTTCTTTTCCTCCAGACTCTGGGACCTTGATTTCCAAAGGAAATGCAAAATTTACTTTCATCAGAGAACATGACTTTGGACCACTCACCAGCAGTCCAGTCCTGTTTCTCTTTAGACGCTTCTGACGCTGTCTGTGGTTCAAGAGTGGCTTGACACAAGGAATGCGACAGCAGAAACCCATGTCTTTCATACGTCTGTGTGTGGTGGTTCTTGAAGCACTCACTCCAGCTGCAGTCCACTCTTTGTGAATCTCCCCCACATTTTTGAATGGGTTTTGTTTCACAATCCTCTCCAGGGTGCGGTTATCTCTCTTGCTTGTACACTTTTTTCGACCACATCTTTTCCTTCCCTTCGCCTCTCTATTAATGTGCTTGGACACTGAGCTCTGTGAACAGCCAGCCTCTTTAGCGATGACCTTTTGTGTCTTGCCCTCCTTGTGCAAGGTGTCGATGGTCGTCTTTTGGACAACTGTCAAGTCAGCAGTCTTCCCCATGATTGTGTAGCCTATAGAACTAGACTGAAAGACCATTTAAAGGCTTTTGCAGGTGGTTTGAGTTAATTATCTGATTAGAGTGTGGCACCAGGGGCCATCAATTTTGAACCTTTTCACAATATTCTAATTTTCTGATATGATGAATTTGAGATTTTCATTTGTTGTCATTTGTAATCATCAAAATTATACAAAATAAACATCTGAAATATATGAGATATTCTAATTTTATGACCAGCACCTGTATTTGTCCCTAACTATGTAGGGGCAGTGATAGCCAAGCCAGTCCAGGGACTGACTGCAGTTCTACTGTGAGGTGCCTTGGTCAAGGTCAATGATGGGGATACCTGACATGGAACAACCATGACATGCATATTGCTGTAGGTTAATAGAATATATTAATTAGGCTATGTATGGAACAAAATAGTTGCAAAACATATAAAAATCTAATGTATTAAGGAACTTGACGGTTTTATTCAAACCTCCTTGAATAAAATTGGTGCTTTCAACAAATACTAACATAATAACTGTCATGTTTTCAGTGTTTAATGATGTTGTCCTTCCTTACTGTGTCAAATGCTTGCATTCTTAAAGAAAATTCTTTAAAGAAAAATTTAGTTTTAATTATCTTGGCCACATGCCATAAATAACAAAAATAACCTTAGGGAGTAAAACAGTATTTCAATTATTACATTTATAAAGGGCCGCTATTACATGACTCATAACATGGAATTAAACATTTAGTGGTTGAATTTCATCCCCATAATTATAGTTTGATTACCAAGAAATAAGTAAAATAGAACGTGTCTAACATCATGAGGTTGAATAGCTAATGCCAAAAAGCTGCACATTGTCCATGTCAGGGTCTGGTTGAGGTTTGACGACCCAAATGCAGAGGCAGGGGAGAGAGGTGAGTTTTCTGTTGATTTAATGAGTGGTTCACAAACAACTGAGGCAAAAATCCCAACATGAAAAAAAGTCAAACAAACCAGAACCATGGAGACTTCAGGGGAAACAATCACGCGTAGTTTGACAAATTAAGACGAGGATCCAGCACTAAGGAACTGCACAAGGAGAGTATTTATGGCTAACTGAAGAAAGAGAGGACTAACGAGCAGATTGGGAGCAGGTGTGAAGAGAGCAGTCTAAGAAGCTACGGGAAAAAGGAGACCAACACACGAGGGCAATAAAATAAAAACCTGAGAACTGAAATATAACAAAAAACACAACAAAAAAAGAGTTAAACCAATAAAACTAGAAAACATGGAGCAAAGTTAAACTGAATACTCAAAAGAAAACATAACAGAACCAAGACTGTGACAGCCCAGAGCTACAGGAATTTAACAGTCTTCTCTAATGTCATTTCTATGACCCATTCAAAAGAAGCAAGTATAGCATTTAAAGCACTGCAGGCTTCACTTGGCCCTCTTATGGTCTGATGGATAAGAAGAAGACTGGTTAAAGACTGGATCTATGGAAGAAACCAACAAGCATCTTGGTATGTTGTTTGGTTGAAACCATTCACCAAGATTTTTAAGTCCCAGACAGAAAACTTTGCCTTGTGATGATTTATTTCTTATACTCCACAAATTTGGAAAAAAAACTCACAGAAAACACATTTTTAATTGCTGAAATCCTAAGTTTCTTAAATCAAAAATGTTTATAATGGCCTTTTAATGTTCCAATTCAAACAGTAGCCTATTATTTTAAATAATCCACCTTTTTTTAAATTTATTTATTTACATCATTTCTTCCCTTTTAGCTTATGTATCATTTTAAAGTGAATAATTTTTTATTAACTTTTTATAATAATTTTATTACTTAAACTAAAACTATCATTATTACACATATTTAACTATTATTTTCATGAATAATTTTATTACCTTTGATTCTCAAAGATCCGGCAAAAGAAAAAAATTACATACATATTTTTCTGTTTTCCTGACATGTTTGCTTTTGTACAGCAATCTGAATTTTCCTGTTTCTGAAATGTGGTAAATATATTGACTTACTTTGCCTTGAGCATCTATGAATAGAAATAAAGTTAATTAAAAGACGGCTGATGAAACCATCAGCCGTTGATCTTCCTCTGTGACACAACGTTCCACGGTATTCCAGACATAACAAACAGATGAATATGTCACTTTTCCTTCTGTCCGGCTGTGTTGCTGCTGTTGCTGTTGGCTGCTGGGTTTTCATGGTAAATTGCTGCGACAGTGAGGCAGCTGTAGGCGCCTGGCTGGACCAACAAAGAAAACGTTTAAACATGGGTGGGACCTTTGACTAAGCAGACCGTCTGTGTTCATCCTGAAGGTAATACATAGTGAGTAACTGGAAAAGCAGCAAACATATTACCAGGCAGATTTACCTCATTTAAAAAATATATCAAGCTTGGTTTAAGACAAATGTAAAAAAAAAAAAATGACAAAAGCATAGCTAAATCTGAAAAATATTTTTTTGCAGGTAAACCTGTTTCTGTATCGACACAAAATAAATTTTTAATAGATTCTTCACACTGCAGTCTAATGTTTCACTGCACCATACAAAATACATTATGCATAGTCTTGCGCCTCACTGAGGATAATATCTAAATAAAGGCTTTTGGGTACATAGATGTTATCTAAGAGTGGTTGTTTCTTGTAAGATAACTAGAAAAAGCTGTTTCGCAGAAACAGCAAAGTGGGAATGCTTTTTTTGCTGAATGAAAAGAGAAAAATTACCTAAAGAAACTGTGAGAAGGAAAAGAAGCACAAATTAGCTGAGGAACATATGAAAATGTGAGAAGCTTCAAACTGCAGAAAACAATTGAATCATCTGAATATTTTGTAGGGTTG